AAAGAAACAAGAAGTGAGCCCAGGGGTAGCTGGGTTTAGTCCTCCGTTCTCAGCTTAGATGTGGTCTCACGCCCACCCTGTGGGGCGTGGCCCCCTCCACACGTGGCCCCTCCGCACGTGGCCCCCTCCGCACATGGCCCCCTCCACATGTGGCGCCCAGCCATTCCTCACCGCTCAGTTTATTTCCTCCCTTCATAGCCCTGTGTTTCCAGGTATCAGCTCATGGATGTGGCTAATGTTTGTCTTACCTTTTTCCCCTACAAGGACACATGTTCCATGTGGACCAAGACCCCAACACTCTTGTCTGCTATTCCAAGTACACAGACTAGTATCTTATACGTAGAAGGTTTTTATTGAACAAACCAATAAATGCCTTTCATCCTTTCTGTCTGTGCCCCAGTTTCCCTGTCTACGTCCAGCCTAACTCTGGACTGTCACGCTTAATGTAGTGACTCACTCTCTCTCTCTTTTTTTTTTGGTAATGACTCTCTCCTTCCACGGCTAAAGCAAAACTCAAAAAGCCAGCGCGTTCTGCGAGTGAGTCCACCCCACCCCCGCAAAGTGACCTGGCTCTTAGAATCACAGCCTTGGCTCCAAGGACAACACAGATGAGGGGAAATGTAAATCCCGACCCTGAACTTAACCTGGATTTTATAAATCAGTGAAATTTCACAGTCTGGTAATTTCTTTCCACCCAAATGCCCTCTTTGACAGGAGGGGAAAGAAAGGGTTTTATGGACAGAACATTTTGGTCGCTAGAATATAAATTGGAAAAAAAAGACATAATTGGCTCCATTCTTTGAAGCATTATCTAATGTCCTCCCTCGAAGAGAGCAGTAACAGGATAACCTGACTTCCCGTTCCTCTTAGTTCTACTTTATAAACCTTCCTGATCCAGAGCGTCAAGGGGGCATCTCCAACTCGGAAAACTCCTTAAACAGGATTTGGCCGTCAGAGCCCTTGGGTTTTGGTTTTTTGTTTAAATTTGCTTGTTGTTTTGAAATGGCTTAATAAGCCTTTCTGAACACACTTAGGAAAACTGCCTAATTTAGCTTCTTCCCGCTAGAAATTCTGGGATGCGGAGACCCACCCAAGGCGCTGGTAGTTGGTCAAAGGTTTGAGCAAAGAACTTGGGGTGAAAAATGCCCATTGTAAAGGCCGACAGGTTATGTGGGCCTTCGGTCTCTGTTCCCAGCAGAGCTGTGTCCTCCGCAGTCAAGAGGGGAGAGGAGGTGAATTCTCATTCGTGTGAATCCGTCTTCCTGCCGCTGGGAAGGCAGTCTCTCCAGTCACGAGTGTTTTCCATGCCTGGCCCTCGCCGTGCGAGTGTGCCAGGTGCAGGGTCTTTGCATCCATGATCCCCTCTTCCTGGTGTTGCATGCAGGTACCTCTGAGGCATCCTGCACTTCAGGCCGAGCCGCCTGTCTTCAGAGTGGCCGTCTCCGCCCGCGGCGCCCCCTCAAGTGTCCCATCAGAGGGTGTGCTAACACCAGCTCCCTCTCCCTGTCGTGGCTGGACCTTCGCAGTGGTCTGTGCGCAGATCTGACTAATACTTGTGACGGGCAGAGCGCACGTCTGCCCGGAGCCAGATGGGGCCTGCCCCACCGCCGCCTGCCCGGCGTCCACGTGCTCTCCCTCCCAGGATCCAGCGCCTGAGGCCCCTTCCTGGCGGATCCCCCTTTGCAGACGCAGGGAGTGCCTGGGAACTTACACCCTCCCCGCCACAGAGATTTCGTGCTACGAGACGACCGGCAACGCAGCCCAGCGGAGCTGTGGAGCCTCCGTACCTTGTGTTTCTGTTTTTCGGTTTTAGTTTCACGTCCGGCGCAGGAGCTGGCACATGCCTTAAGGGGAACCTGTGCGCTGGGCGCTGGCCTCACTTCCCTGCAGGGCCCTCATCTCAGGCACCTCAGGCCCTCCTCTCCCTGCTGCCTCCAACGTCCCGGATGTGGTTTTTGTCCGTCCAGCCCAGCGAGGCGACTGCCTGCCCCGGGCTGTCACGTTTTGCTCAGTCTCTGAGCGATACCACGTGCATCGGGAACGCCCCAGGGGGAGAGCGCGGTGCGGCCAACGTGGGGCTCACCTCAGTACGATTCCGTCCTCTGTGGGGTTTTTGCCGTCTGGTCTCCAGTCACCTGCGCCATTGTTACCTGTGCAAGGGTTGGCCTGTCTGAGCCAACCCATCACCACGGATCACAGAAGGCAGGCGGATCGCGGATGTGGGCTGGCCATCACCCCGATTCCTTCCGCCTCGTCTCCCAGTGCTCCGTCCGCCCTGGGGAGCAGGTCAGAAACTGTAGCCTCTTCCTGGAAGGTGCAGCCCAGGCGGCTGGCTTGGCAAGAAGATGTTCTCCTGTTCCAAGTGGTACCACGAGCCTTTTCTCCAGGCGGACGCATACTGACAAGCAAAGATGGGGGCTAGATTTTGGTCCCCAACCTCCCCCTCCCCCGCGGGGGTCCCCAATGCCGCTCACAGTCTGTTCCCCCGCACCTGGTGTTCCGATCACCTTCCACCGAGGGCTGCGGAACTGTCCCTGTTAATTACACATAAAAATCAGTATTTGCGCTTTGATCTCAACTATGGAACAAGAAAGAAATCCGAGGGCAACAGCCTGCACGGACATCATCAAAGCGCCGGTGGAGGTGAAGCCAGTCATTTTAATACATTGTTTCCAATGCTCTTGGGCTGCTTTCAAAATTTGGAAAAATAATTAAAAAGTCACATTTATAATGGTATACTTTCAAAATATGAATATGACCATGCAAACTGATGTGCACCATTTCAAAAAAAAACCAGTGAAGAGTGAGTAAGATGAATTAATTTTTATTTTGGGGAGATGGGACTAGAGACTTTTTTCCCCGCTTTATTTCTTCCTCTTTCCTTCGTTTGCCAGATTTTGTGCACGGAGCCAGAACTGCTTCTTTGTCAGTTTCATTGCATTTAACAGAAGAAAATACACGTAAAGCTCGTCTCAGTGCCGTCACCACGACCGCAGGCTTGGGTTTGAGTCTCTGCTGTGCTAGCTCCTCGTCTAGACCTTGAGAAGGATGCTCTGAGCCTGTTTCCTCATCCGCAATTCGGGGGTGACACGCCTTTCTCCGGGGGCTGCTGTGAGTGAACAAAGGGTGTTTCACACCGGGGCTGGCCCAGACTCGTTAAACAGAGTCTCCTTATTATTGCGTAGCTATTGTTAATATTAACAAAATAATGTCAATAAATTATTGTTGATAATAATAAAGATTAATGCCGATAAATATTACAGTCAACCCTCTGGCAACATGGGTTTGAGCTGCGAGGATCCAGTTATGGGTGGATTTTTTTCGGTAGTAAATACTGCAGTGCTACGAGGTCCTCTGTGGGTTGAATCCGCATACGGAACCGCGGA